TTATACATTCCTATGTATACTAAACTGATAAATATTCTAATTTAAAGTGACACTAAACTCAGGAGTTAAATCTTAAAAATACATTTAAGCACCTTAACGATTAACAAAGAATGTATCTTATTTGTGTATCACTCAGCTATAAATCCTCAAATCATCTCTGAATTGGTGCTGACACTGTCCTTCCTTCTGGAGGGGGGCTACTTTTGTTCTCCATGATCTCTGTGTGTGTTATAAAGTGGCCACCACTCCAAGCTCACTCCCCTTATGGACTACAATCTCAGGTTTAGTTTATTAATTTGTATTGAGATTGTAGTCTTATCACAGGAGTGAGCTTGGAGCGGTGGCTACTTTACAACACACACAGTGACCATGGGGAACAAAAGTAGCCCCCCCTTCAGAAGGAAGGGCAGTGTCAGCACCAATTCAGAGATGATTTGAGGATTTATAGCTGAGTGATACACAAAAAAGATACATTTTTTGTTAATCGTTAAGGTGCTTAAATTTATTTTTAAGATTTAACTCCAGAGTTTAGTGTCACTTTAAATTAAAATATGTATCAGTTTAGTATACACAGGATTACACTGAGTGGCCAGATTATTATGACCACCTGACGTTCGTAGGCAAATTAGCTATAATTTCGTGCTGAAGTTGCTAGAGGGCCAGACCATTATAAATAGGGAAGCAGGTTGTTTACCACGACAGTAGAAGTGATTTGTTTCTGAAGATACGGGGTAAACAACGCGATTTAACAGCCTTTGAACGTGGGATGATTGTTGGCGCTCGGAGCCATGGAGCGAGTATCAGCAAAACAGCAGAATTTGTGAAATGTTCAAGAGCAGCTGTTGTTAAAGTGTTTAAAGACTGGACTGTCAGCCGAAAATCTGGGTCTGAACGTGGGAATTGTGGCCGTCAGTGACTAGTCAATGTTAGGGCAGAACGGAGAATGGCAAGGCTGGTACAAGACAACAGAAGGGCAACAGTGCAGTGTCAGATTCCTCGCATCACCTTTCAACATCTCGTGGAGTCACGAGGCGGCCCAACGAAGTCACCTCGTGGATTATATATATATATACTGAAAAACACTTAGATCCAATGGGGGTGAGTTTTTTAAGGACTACCTTGCAATAATTCCATGCTCCTGCAATACAAAGCTGTAAAGGGTGAGATTGTAAATTCATCTTTTACATATGATCATCTCTTTCAAACAAACTTTGTAAAAGCGTTGTATTTATCTCAATGTCTCCAATTCTTTGCCACACGTGAAAATTATGTATTTACTAGTAACTCCAAATAAATAGACAGTTTGATTTTCATACTGTGCATTCTAGATTTAAACTTACTACCATCTGATAAACAGGCACAACTCATTCTAAATATATATGTAAATGTATCTTATGTACAGTGTATCCCAAGAAATGCAAACAGATGTGTAACCACTGAAAGTAGATTTGTAAATTATATATGCCTGTAATTCCTCGTGTATACAAATGGCCCATTGATGGAATGGATACACTGAGCCAAAGCAGAAATATTTACAGACGAGTTATATTTTTCAACAAGCCAGCAGATGCTAGCAGTTGTATCCAGACATAAATCTAGAGTTATATTTAATAATCTGGCACTCTTGCCTTTTGTAAGCTTGTAAACCGTGTAGACAGATGACAGATTTTTGCTTTATTTTCATAAACTGTTGTCAGAAGAATAGTGGCTACATTCTGATTATCTGCTCTTTAGAGTTGTAGTTTACTCTGGTTATATTTTGTCTTCTCTGTTTCCTCCTTTCCCTTCTCATCAACAAGCTTAAGGTATTTTTAAATAAAACCTTTCTGTCTTCATTATGTAGCCCTGTTGTGATTTCATCTCCTTTAAGAGAAAAGATATTGCAGCTGCAGGTGGAGCCA